CGTGTGGCGGGGGGGGGGGGGTTGGAAACAAAACAAAAAACCAAGACACATTCTTAGCGCCCCCACCCCACCCCGCCCTTCACAGCCTCCTCCAAGAAAGCAAAGAGGCAATCCTGCAGGAAGCCGTTTTCTGTCTTACCTCAGTAAATATCCCAATGAACATTTCGGGATTTTTCAGACAAAATGGGTTAAACATTTTTTTTTTTTGGCCAAAGTCCGTATTTGATGAGCCAAGAGAGGAAAGCATACATTCGAACTCTAGTAGCGAACTCTCGACATTCATCAATCTTTCTGGACCTTGATTTCTCACCTTGTAAACGGGGAAAATCCACCTATTACGGGCAGACCTGCCCACCTGAGGGCACCGCGGTGGGAAGGTGAACAGCTTGCGCATTCCACCAAACCAGTTCTAGCACTTCTCATTACTGAAATCTGAAAAATACTTACACCACGGTAACAGCACTGCAAGTTCATCGCACGATGTAGCTCACGCCGGTGCGACACCAGGGTCTGGAAATCCTACATCGAGCCAAGCCCGAGTTGCAGTCTAGAAATCGTCAACCGCGCCCGGCGTTAAGAGTCTTGAAATACCAAATGGCAGTACGGTGATGTGCTACAGAGGTCTGGAAATCCTAAATTGCGCCACCGTGATTACCCCATGAGATACCAGCGTCTTAAAGCCTAAAGCGCCTCACTGAGAGGATCTAAAAGTCCTATATCCCATCTGGGTGACACCAGGGTCTACAAATCTTAAATGGAGCCACGGCCATGGAGATATCAGTCTTAATCCTAAATCCCTCCACTGCAATGCCGGAATCCAAAAATCCTATATAATAGCACCCGGGCAGATGCCAAAGTATAGAAATTCTGAATCGCCTGATGGAGATACTTGGGGTCTTGAAATCCTAAATTGCGCCATGGCAACAGCAAGGATCAAAAATCCTAAATTGCACAAGGGCAATACCACGTCTACAAATCCTAAGTCATACCACAATGACGATCAGGTCTAAAAGTCCTAAATCACACCGGAGTGATACTGATGTCTGTAAATCCTAAATCCCGACAACGAGATGACCCTAAGTCGTACCCTGCAACGAAGAGATTTATAAAATCCTAATTCGCGCAAGGGTGATACGAGAATTTTGAGGTCTTATGTCACACCGGTACAATGCGGGAGTCTAGAAATCCTAAGGGACCTCGTTGCCCGAATACTACTGCATTAGGATTGCCACCTCGCTCCTGGAGAAGGTGGAGTAGGTTAGACCAGGAATGCGCCGCCAGCCAACAGGCAACCCGGCACGGCACGGCACGGCATGGCGTCTCGGCCGCTAGCCCGCACCCAATCTTGGGACACCCGACCACACCCCCTCGTACCCGTCACTGGCGCACTCACCTGCGGAGGCGATCTCGGCGCACCATGGCCGCGTTATCCCATGCCGCCCGCCGCACTGTTGCAGAGCACCGGTGCGCCGCAGCGCC